CTTGCTTGTGCTCTCTCTCTCTGTCAAATAAATAAAATCTTTAAATAAATAAATAAATAAATAAACATAAAAACAATGAAAGAAACCACAAAGGAAAAAAATTGATTTAAATTACCTACAACTATGGATCTGTTCTGTCACAAACACACAGTGGCTAGACCATGGGGGTTTTTTATACATTTGGTACCTTTTCACAGGGCAATTTGGCAGTAACTTAATGCACACTCAACTTTTTCCAAGCTTGTCTTCTGGGAATTTATCCTAAGGAAATAATGAGACCAAACAAAGATTTATGTATAAGATTAGTGATATTATTATTTATAATATTGAATAATTAGAAACCTAAATGTTTGTCAGTAGGCATACTGTTAAATAGTAGTCTGTTTAACCATAAAACATAATAATGTAGATCCATGGTTCTTAACTTTGTGGAGATCACAGGACCCTTTAAGATACGAACCTAAGATATGAAAAAATGTGCAGCGCTTACTATTGATAATAGTGCAGTGAACTGGACATGCTCATACATTACTTATTGGAAAGCAATTTGGTGATAATATCAGGATCCTTAAGTCTTTGCCTCTTGCTAAAGTATTTTGATTTTTAGTAGTATAGTCTAAGGAAATAACCAAATATGGGCAAAGAACCATGAACAGGTTTATTTTAACCCATCCTCTAAAATTTTTTTTATTCTAATAGTTTTATAGAGATCTAATTGCCGTGCAATAACCTGCACCTAGGTGTACAGTTTGGTAAGAATTAAGACAGTGAAGGGGCACCTGGGTGGCTCAGTTGGTTAAGCATCGACTCTTGATCTCAGCTCAGATCTTGATCTCAGGCTTGTGAGTTCAAGCCCATAGTGAATGTGTCTGTTGGCCCCAGGAGTTTCCTTGTGCTCTTTGTAATCCCTCCTGTTTTTCCCTGCCCTCCCATCTCCAGGCCACCACAGATCTGCTCTCTGTCCCTCTAAATTAATTTGCATTTTTAGGGCTTTATATAAATGTGGAATGATTCAGTGTGTACTCTTTTTTAAATTTGATTTCTCTCAACATATTTTGAGACTCATCTGTTATTGCACGTGTCATCTGTTCATTCCTTCTTTTTGCTGAGTAATATTCTGTTGTATGTATATACCATGATTTTTATCCATTCACCTGTTGGTGGATGGTCGCCAACCCATCTTTTTTAGTGAAAATGAAGAATCCCCCAGGGGCGCCTGGGTGGCTCAGTCGGTTAAGCGTCCAACTCTTGGTTTCTGCTCAGATCATGATCTCAGGGTTGTTAGATGGAGCACCGAGTCAGGCTCTGTGCTCAGCAGGGAGTCTGCTTGAGATTCTCTCCCTCTGCCGCTCCCCCTACTCATATTCTCTCTGTCTCTCTCAAATAAATAAATCTTTATTTTTTTTTAAAGATTTTATTTATTTGAGAGAGAGAGAAAGAGAGTGCAAGAGCATGAGCAGGGGAGAGGGGCAGAGGGAGAAGCCGATTCCCCACTGAGCACGGAACCCCGGGATCCTGAGCCTCAGAAGGCAGACGCTTAACCAACTGAGCCACCCCAGAACCTTGGTGCTTTCTGAAGCTCTTTGTAGGTGAAATTTAAACTGCAAAAGGTATGAAAAGAAGTCCAACCTTATCACCTGCGCTATCCTCTCACTTCTTACCACGTGCAGGATTACAAGGTTAAAAAAAAATGGCATGGAAGCTTAAAGAGAATTTATTGGAGTACTCTCTCATACCTGCAGTTTTGGTTTTGTCTTTTCCTGTGAGGTCCCAGCGAAGGAAATGGATTCCTAATCATAGCAGAAAACATCGAGAAGCCTGTGAGTCACAGTGTTTGGGATATTATGACAGCCAACAGCTATTTGGTTTTGCAACATCCTCTGCCCACATCCCCCCTACCAACCCATTCATCTGACTTATTGAGTGCCAGGCACTCTTCCCCTTTGTTATTAACTCCCCTTTTCTAGGGTGAAATATCATACATAAAAGAGTTCATAAAACAAATTTACAGCTTAACAAAATATTACAAAACACTCATGTAAACCATAATCCCAAGGTTGCGAATGTATGTTCTAGATGTTTATTGTTTTGCTTTTAATGTTTAGATCTACAATCCAATTGCAGTTTATTTTTGTACATGGAGTGAGGTAAGGTCAAGGTTAATTTTTTCCATATGAATATGCAGTTTCTCAGCATCACTTATTGAAAAGACTGTCCCTTCATCTAGTGCTCTGCAGTGCCTTCTTTTCACTATTATAAATTTGATATCAAAATTAACTAATTGGGGCACCTGGGTGGCACAGTCGGTTAAGCGGTTAAGCATCCAACTCTTGATTTTGGCTCAGGTTGTGATCTAAGGTTTTGGGATGGAGCCCTACATCAGGCTCTGTGCTCAGGGCAGAGTCCCTTGTCCTTCTCCCTCTCCCTTTGCCCTTCCTCCCGCTCATGCTCTCTCTCTCAAATAAATAAAGTCTTAAAAATAATAATAAAAATGAAAAAATAAAAAATAAAAATGTATAAGTAAAAAATGAAAGCCCTGCATTCTCATCCCTCCTATTCCTAGCCCTACTTCCTGCAGGTAATAACTAATATAAACAATTTAGGATGGAGCCATTGGTAATTTATTCCCAATGCATATAAATATATAAATATACATAGAATTGTTTTTACAAAAATTGAATCAAACTCTTCATATTAGAAATGGCTCATTTCACATAATATATTTGGCTATTGTTTCATATTGATTGACCTTCTCTTTTAAGAGTTACCAAGTAACTCCCATCCTGATGGATGCATTACCTGTGTCAATCCCCTGTGAAATGTCCATTAAAACAAAAAGCAAACAACTGGAATGATGAATTTAAAGTAAATTTGTGGAGAGAAGAGAAGAAGGAATGAATCCACATACTGAATTCTTTTCGGATACCTGATTCTTTCTAGGAGTTTAAGCCTTGGCCTTGTCAGGGCCCGCCTTCCCCTTGCTGAGTCTACTGCCCCTTGTGGAGGCTAGCCCACAGGGCTCTTAAAATTGTGTGCAGACTTCACTCGTTTGTGGCCACCAGGCACTTCAGTGAAGGGCAAGCAAGAGCTCTTCGGGCACAAAGTGAAGGAACAACATGGAGCCTAGGACTCCAGGATAAACCTTTTGGTCTCCAGCATGAGATAAATTGGGGATGATGTTTGCACCTCAGATTTCCTTCAAGAATCAAATGTTCCATATGCCCCAAAGAGAACTGGTTGGCTCAACAGCTAAAAGACCTCTCCTCTAGAGGCAACTTTTAACTTATTTTTTTTTTTAAGGGCAAAGTGAATTTTGCTTGCTCCTGATGAGCAGGTGTGACTCAGCAGAGGTTTTTACTAAGACTTTTATAGGTACATATTACAGTTCATCTCTACACCTGATGGTCTTCTAATGGGGATGGAGATTTATTAGCCCACAGATAAGACAAATTGAGGCTTTGTACACAGTTCTCTGAAGCCACTTAGAGCTGATTTCATGAGAGTGCTATTTGTACATCCTCAAGCTTGGTATTTAAAGAGAATTGTTCAGTTTTGAGAAAATTGCTCTGAGCATGAACAATTTCCTCCTATTATGGTGTCTCATTTTCAGCCACTCTACTGCATTCTTACTCATGCATTCTATCTTCTCTTGCTCTCTCTCAGACCCCCTGAAGGACAGAGAGGTAGGAGGCTACACAGGGGATGGGGGGGGAGGTGGTAAATTTGCTAAATGATGATCTGAACTAGGCTCTTGAGCCAGCCCAGGAGGGCTCACCTCAGAGAGTGCAAGCTGGCCATGCTTATACACTCACCCAGGGCAAGTGAACCCCACTATTGCTCAACTTGCAGGCACAGACCAGAACAGGAGGACAATTGGAGCGCTTGTTTCTCAACTCTTCTTCCACCAATCCCATTTGTTTGCACCAACAGGAATGTATTTTACTTTAATTTATAGTTTTCTAGAAGCAGGGCATAGTTTTGGTGGTGAGGTGTCCAGAAATCATCCCCAACATGCAGTGTATTTCTCTCCTGAGGGAGGAGAGACTTGCTCCCTCTGCCCCTTGCCGTTCTTCACCCTAAAGCGGCAGAGGGTACTTGGAGGCTTTGGTGGAACTGGGAGATTTTGAGCACATCCTACTCCCCCAGCCAGGAGATGGGTTTGCACAGATGCATTGGTGTATAAAACAAGGTACTTGGCTGTGTGTGTCTCTAGGCATCATTCTTCTTGATGTAGTTTTTACCGAGAGGTTAATGTTTTCAATATGTAAAGGCAAGAATGTAATGCCAAGGAATACAATATATAATTTAATTGGTGAAAATGTGTATTTATTTAATTAGAACATAAAAATAATCTCCCCAAGTCACTGTATGAAGCATTTTTTAAAGAAGGGATGTAGCTATTATGTTTTAAAAGATGTGCCTTTGTATATCATACCATTTCTTCTACTTTTGTTTATATTTGAAATTTTCTGAAATGTTTTTAAAATGTACTGTGGGGGTCAATATCAACAGCTTCATCAATGGACATTTTTCGTTTGCGTATTTATGTGTTGATTTTAATGCGTACTAGGAAAAATACCCACATAGCACATTCGCCCTGGATTCCACGGATAGTTTTGGCTTAGGACGAAGCTTCATTTTGTTAAGTTTTTCAAAAGTGACTTCGCTTTAAAATAAATGGTAAAACAGTCAATACCAGTATGGCAAAAACTGGAGATGCAGCTTTCGAGTGGACTAAATTTTGAGAAACACTGGTCTAATATTTCCATCTGTTACCATTCATACAAGAAGCCAGTTAATTAAGTAACAAACTGACCTCCTTCCATCCCTAGCAATAAGCCTGTGATAAATAATTCTATCTCTTTATAGCCTGCTTAAACAATAACAATTTTAATACAGAAAACAAAAAAACCACATTCCCCAGAAGGCCCCGGGGGCGAAGAAACCTCCGGAGCATAGAGTTTAATTCCTAGCTGGGCCTCCCGTTCGCCACTTCCGCCCGTTCGCCTAAAACTGCGCTTGCGCACTGAGTCTCTTCCTCTCTGGGCTTAGACCTAGCTTGCGGCGACATGGTGAGTGTTGCTGCCGTTGAGGCCTAGAGGTCTATCCGCCCGCATCTGACCTTTTCTTGCTATCTTCGCCCTCACCCGGCGTCTGCTCGCCCGCCCTGCCCCGCGCCGTCTTCGGCCTTCGTGCCGTGGCCGCCCCTTTCGGACGTAGACCGGGGCGGAGGGGCGGGGGCGGCTCGGTGGCGCCTGGTCCATCCGGGCCGGGTTAACAGGGTGCCCTCGGAGCCCGGGGACCGCTCTGGCCTCAGATTTTGCCAGGATGGAATGAGGGGGACCTAGGTCACTGGCAGGGACTGGGTGATTGGAGGAATGGTGTTTGGCGCAGGGAGTGGGGGGCAAAGACTCCGTTCCCGGGTCCTAATATCGACGGTTTCTCTCTTTGCTCTTAACAGGCTAAACGCACCAAGAAGGTCGGAATCGTGGGTAAATACGGGACACGTTATGGTGCCTCCCTCAGAAAAATGGTGAAGAAGATTGAAATAAGCCAGCACGCCAAGTACACTTGCTCCTTCTGTGGCAAAGTAAGGTGGTCTCTGGGGGTGGGGGGCAGAGGGAGGGGAGGCTTTCCTGCGAAGTGAGCCCGCTCTTGAAGGAAGTTTGTGAATAGTGTGCGGGGTTGTGGATAACTGTGGATTTCGTAGAATGCTTTCCATTTACACTTGGGAACTAAAGGGTCAAACGTTTGACAAGGAGCCCCAGCCTAAGCCAAGCCTGCTTCGTGGGAAATGACTTGTCCGTTCTGTCTGCTGGTGTTGCTGGAGAGTTCCGTGTAATGTTTGTATGTCGATGGTGTGCAGGAGTACTGTTTGGGAAGGGGGGGGAACGTGATCCCAGGACCCTGGGATCCCAACCTGAGCCACCCAGGTGCCCCAAAATACACCCATTTTCTAGTGTAATTTAGACTCCTGGATGGTGGTGAGGTAAAAGGCTTTTATTGGTTCATAGGGAAAACTGATTGTCTTTTACAGACGAAGATGAAAAGACGAGCTGTGGGGATCTGGCATTGTGGCTCCTGCATGAAAACCGTCGCTGGTGGCGCCTGGACCTACAAGTGAGTCCCTTTTCTTTGTGGTATTTGGAAGGGTGTGGATCACATCAAAATTCCAGGTTTGACGCTGGACGGGCTAGTTTTAACTCTTTTTACAAGACTGAGAAAACAGGAATGCTTTTGTTTTTTTTCATGACTCATGGACAGTTATGGTTTATGTTCAGTTATTCAAAGACTAGAAACAAAACTACTACAATAGAAAAGTCTGAAATGACTTCAGAATTTCATAGAATTCTAAGGGTCATCAGTGTGAGCATAATGATACTGTCCAGGTAGGTCCTTTAGTGGGACTGGATCTATACTGAACTTTGACTTGTACTGCAAGCTGTTTTTATAAAAATGAGATCAGTTAGCTTGTTACTGTGGATGGAAACTTGAGGCCACCTGGACCACGACACCTTTGCCATTCCAAACAATACTGGCTGGACCTCGACAGCTTTGTGACCCTGACAAGTGCCGGGTGATGCTGCTGAGATAAATCTACCTGTGCTGGTTATTGATTGAGTGGACTTTTGAGTTAATCTATTTCTGGAAATTAAAGCCACCCTTGAAGATCTCTAATTTTGGAATTTGTTGCTGACCTTAAAGGCTGATATGTGATCCAGTATCTAGATGTGTGCTGTCCAATACACTAGCCTCCCACGTATAAAATGGTAAGGCTAGTGTGGTTGAAGAGTTGAAATTTTAATATTTTATACTGCAGCAGTGTATTGTGTACTGGAAAGTGTTGAAATGATCATTTATATATATATATTTTATATATGTGTGTGTCTTGTGGGCGTCTATGAGGTCAAAAAGGCAAACGGAGCCTAGCGTGCTCTCTTGGTTGTGATGATAACATGAACTAGCATTCCTGTACCGACCATATGTGATGGTTATGGGTGTTCCAGGTAGAGTTCCAGAATCTTTTGGTATAACTTTTTGTAGTCATTTTAATAGCTGTCTTCCCAAAATATACTTGTCTGTTCTACCTATTTTGACACTGTTTTGATATCTCTCATTTATGATACCATCTTAAAATTTATTTCTTCTGACATTGTGTCCATTCCCTTTCAATGAGTTTAGGTCAGCCTCCTGCAACCATTCATTCATCCCTGTTATTTTTTTTAATGCTGCTTGAGAGATCAGATGCATGAGATTGCCTATTCTGCAAAAGCCTGAAGACACAACTCTTGTTAAAAGTTGTCATCATCGTTAAGATCGTAATGTAAAAATGAGGCAGGATTTACTCATTTGCCATTTCACGTGTTAGTGTAGCTAATTATATTGGAACCAACTTTGTTTTTCTTTCCAGCACCACTTCTGCTGTCACAGTAAAGTCTGCCATCAGAAGACTGAAGGAGTTGAAAGACCAGTAGAAGCTTCACCATTTGAAACATTGCTAGCCTA